ACTTGGTAATCAGAACTTCCCCGCATATATACTAACACCTATCACACAGCACCGTGATTCCTACCATAATAGTCGCCGCCTACAAACACCATTCTTTCCAAACACTTAATATACATCCGGTGCTTCAAATTGGGCTCATAAAGCCAGAAGGAGATATAGTCACAATCATACGCCCTAAGACAGCTAATATTTGACGTACTCATACCAATCAAAAGCGGTCAACATCCTAGAAAATGCTCACATTAAGCTACAAGGTAGATGCAGACTTTGTTGAGAGATATGATAACTTCAGATATAACAAACACAGAAAGCGTAAATACGTGCTTTTCCCCAATATTTCCTACTATCCAAAGACATGTACTAGTGTATTGCATGTACTGGTATCCTGTGGGACATCCCATCAGTGCTGTCCCAAATTTCGAGCTAGGGTACCATGTATTATCCTATCGGTGAGTGCTAGTATATTATATACTAGCCCAAATTCCAAGCTAGGGTATCATGTACCATCCCAGGGCTTGTACTGGTATATATTCTGGGCCAAAATCTAGGACAGTAGTCTAGGATTCCGGCCATGAGGGCAATGTCGTCTCTTAGCAGTTTCCAACCGCTGTCCCAAATTTAGGCCTTAACTTGCCCGTCTTCGCTATCCTTACAAATTACGCGTCGTCTGCCTTCTATCGATAGGAAAGTTTAGCCGGGGGGGCTGAAAAGGGGCCTCTGAGGCTGTGCGGCGGCGGTTTACGGGATCACCCCAGCTCAGAGAAGAATCAGGGAGAGCTCAGGACAAATCAGCTACAGCCCACCCCAGCTCAGGATTGAGGACTAAAAAGGAAATTTCGTGTGCCCAGATTCGTCGCATGAAACCAGGCTGGTTTAAGGTCGGGTAAGAAGCTGGGAAAACGGAAGTCCAACATTTCTAATGAAGCCGGGAAGGGTTGGATAAGCCTACGTGGGAAGCGAGGTCGGGAGATGGTTAGATGCTATGGAAACTGTATAAAAGCCAGATACGTCTTAGAAACATTTCGCTCCTCGTACTACGCATGATATCCGTCTTAAGACAGTGCATCAAAAAACTCATCCATCTCCTCTTGATCCATATCCGATCGCTCTGACTGCCCAAAAGTGTCTCCTTCTTCACCCACCTTCGCAAAGAGAATAGACGTATCGTAGTCCGTAGCATCGTTGCTATCGTTGATGTATTCGTCCGGGTGCTTGTCTTGCTCGGGATCCCAGAGGCGATCAGCATATTTGTGGTCGTCGAAGATTTTTGTCAACTGCCAGCCGAGCCATCCCCGCAGCCGGTCGAGCTGGCCTTGCGTCTCGAGAGCTTCCTTTGAGTAGAGGAATATGCCCGCCTCCCAGTTCGTCCTCCTAGTTTCCAATATGAGCGCGTAGAAGGTGAAGACCTCGGCTTGCGTTGGCCTTCGTTGACTGCCCAGCCAGGGGGAAAGCATTCTCCGCTTGAAGTATTGCAGAGCAGAGCACCCATTCGAATCGGGGCGATCGGGGTCTATGCCACGGGTACATATCATGCGCAAACTCCGAAGCTGCCGTAGGCCGTGGTCCATAGCTGTTATGCTAAGAATATCCTCCCCTTGTTTGCTGACGATATCAGGCGCTGCTCCGAGGAAGTAGAGATGCCGAAGCGCAACCTGGTTGCCAACCCCAGCTGCGACGAGAATGGGCGAATGGCCAAGGCTATTTTGAAGGTTGCGATTTGCTCCAGCCACTACCAGCAACGACATGATATTCATAGTGTCCCGGCACTGTGACCCGGCACAAGGATAGAGAGTCAAATGGTGCAAGGCGTTGAAACCATCGTTGCAAGTTGCATTAGGCTTCGCGCCCGCTCCGAGGAGAATTTGCGCGACCTCGTCGGTACTACAGACGTGCAAGGGGGTGCACCCATTCCAGTCTTTGGCTTCTATGTTAGCACCACCTTTTAGCAGAAGTGAAACCATATGTGGCTGGTTGTTGGAGACTGCCAGGTGCAGCGCTGTCGAACTATAAGGATCTGTCGGGAGGTTAATGGCCGCGCCGCCCTGAAGCAGCAGCTGAGCTTTATCGAGGTGGCCAAGTTTTGCTGCCCAATGCAGGGGAGAAAGCCCCTCCAAGTCGATGTGGCTGACGTGAAATGGCTCCATCGTAAGGGCGTCCTCGAGTCGAACGTTGCTGAGCCCCAAAACTGAGTCCCTAATCATAGTTGACAAGTCTGGGCTCTCCTGGCCCGCTTCGGCAATGCGACGGAGAATACGATAGGCGTCTGGCACTTTCTCTCGAGATTGAGTAAGGTGTACCAAATTCCTCCTGGCCACTTTTGTTGGAGATCTACTGCTGTTAGCTTACTTGGCAGTGGATATAAGCGAAGAGCACGACTCACTCGCCTGCAAGGTCGACGAAAGAAGGAGAGAAGCCCGAATCTAAAAGAAACTCTACAAGCTCAAAGTTCCCAAAAGTCATGGAAATTCCGAGAATGTACTGTTTTGTATCAGCTCTCACTGCTAAGAAACGGACTGGAATATAATCTGCGACGGGCCAACTTACAGCTAGGTAACCGTGACCATCATGCGTTATGTCCGTTGGTGCAAGCTCCCGTGTCGAAACCACGTTTCTGAAGTACGCTACTTTACGGTCGACGATCGCGCGGAAGATCCCATTTGGCTCGCAAACTCTCGGGATGGTAAGATGTAACGAGGCGCCAACATTGGTCAATGAGCCCCAACTGAGCGAAAGAAAGATGGCGCGGCTCAAAAGCCATACCGGAAACAAATAACCTACCCGAATCGATTTGCTGGGTTGTTGTTCGCATGTTGGGACATCGCAGGGTCCCTCTTTGACCCAGGCACCCCTAATGTGCTGTACTACCATGGTACCGGCTAAGCTTCTCATCCATGGCGGAGAACGAAGGAGGCTGTCTTTGTGACATTGACACTTGCAGTATCGTACACATCGCTGTGGAGGGGGGCCATGGTCGGTCGGCGAGTTAAGCGGGATCCCAGAGTCGCTAGCCTCGACTGCAGCTTCTGACGGTGTGTTGACTGAAGAAGAAATGATGGTTTCAAGGGCATCGAACCGCGACTCAAAGAGAGCTAGAGCGGATTGCATGAGAGAATGGTGACTCCGTGATATATCTAAAACTTTCATGCCAATTTTTCGCTGCTCAACCCTACGCCTAGGTTAACTACCGTAGTACATAGTGCAACCTGGTTTACACCATGGGCTACACCGGCGAGAGGGGATACTCACTGCTCTGAAACCCCAAGCAAGCCGAGGAAAATTGACAAGTCTTCGCGGCAACGCTTGGCCCGATCTCGTAACTTGATGACTTTACCACGCTCTCGCTGCCAGCCGATGACAGAAACCTTGAGATCGCCATTCTTGGTTAATGCTTTGGTAGGGTTGCCACGCGATAGGCGGACTCCAATATCCTTTGTCACGTCCACAATCTGCTCAAGGTCGAGTTTGATAGAGTCGAGTCGTTCGATCGCTTCCTTTGGAAAGCGTAGCTGTGGATCTGACATCGTAGCCGTGGCGGAGCAGAGCTGGTTCATGCACGCCTGCAACGAATACAGCTCGTTAAGCATATCGCCGAACTCAGAGGAAGCATTCGAAATTCTGGTGAGTGTCATAATCCCGAACGACAGGGCCTGGGTAATTGCGATTACTGACGCAATCCCCGAGAGAGGGTCCATGTTGCCGCGTCCTCTAGTCGAATGAAGGAGTTGAGGACCTGTGGCATGAAACTTGGAGGATGACCATTGACTTAAGAATTTGGGGGAAAAGGTGAAGAGGGGAGGGGAGAAAGCCTCGGTGTCTGCCAGCCTCTGACGCACGCGCACTAGCGTCGGTGAACACACCATGCTAGTACCTATGATTAACCTTGTTGATTAATATTATGCATGCTGCCGCGTGATGACCGGCGACGGAAATGCAGGAATTACCCTGTGAAACGAAGACCCGGCATGTTTATAGTGGGGAGCGGCGCCACAAAAGCAAAAATTTCGGGCTATTGTTTGCCTTAACTGTTCTAGATTCCCCAGTAACCGCTTTACTGGCTGAGTACGAGTGTAAGACGGCAATGGTAGTCGGCACGATGACTAGCCAAGCCAGGTGGGCAGACCTGCAGACCGGCCACTTATAGGCGAGGCTGACTAGCGTTTGTTAGAAAGAAAGGGGTTCTGGCCAGAGTGTGACGACCTGCAGGCCGCCGTTTGAGACCTGTCCGGACTGACGTGTCCCCACATGCGCCACAGTAGGAATTACAGTACGGAAAAGAATGTTACACTAGGTGCTCTGTTGGCTTATCGTGCTTTAGGGTAAGTAACTCTAGAGAACCGAACGCCCTAAATTTGATGATGTCCATTTCGCTCCGGTCCAGGCTGGCTTACAGCCCAGTGAAACAGGTAGTGATAAACATCCAGACGCTGTTCAAGTCCTGATGCCACAGAACAGAGGTCATTGTTTGGTGTTTGGTTGGAGTGGATACAACGCCGTTCCCGATGGACATGGAGCCTACAACAAGCGTGAGGCTCAGAACAGCCTGACGACCGTAGCGGGTACAATTCCGTTCCGGATGGGCGGGGTGCGTACAACAAGCGCGAGTCGCAGACCAGCCCGGATGGTCGCAGTGGATACAACTCTCTTCCCGGTGGCCGTGGCGCCTACAACTAGATGGAAGCGGGGCTCCCACGAGTTCAGAGGTCTTGCTGGTAAGAGACCGGTTGGACTGCTGAGGTTTTCGGGAACATCACCGAGGTTGAGCTTCACATTCACTTCGAAGCATTGCAAGTTGGTACATGCGTCTTCAGTGGTTCGTTTGATAGTCTTTGTCATTAAGAAATACAAAGGGGCCCCTTGTCCGTCGTGTTCAAAGATTGTGATCTCACCATTCTTCCAGGGGCAAAACTCCGCTTCTCGCAAGCCCCTGAACCCACACCCAAGCTCTCCGCAAGAGCGGATCAACGTCGCCAGAAGCCACAAAAGGCACAAAGACGATGTCTTGGAGGAGCAGGGGATCGAACCCTGGGCCTTTCGCATACAGTGAAGATAGTATGCAAAGCGAACGCTCTACCACTGAGCTACACCCCCTATTCCTGCTTGTAGATGTGCGATGACATTGCGGTCTACATATTTCGCATGTGACGCTCTCGGGCAACGTCAATCTCAGATGAGGCGTACTCTAGCCCACTTTCGTTCTTCATCAGGAATGAACTTGGCCGCTCTGCCTTCGCTGTCCTTTGGCCATCTGAGAACTAGGGCGCCGACGCGCGTCGCAGTTTCGGCATTCTGCCACTCGATAACAAGAAGGAAGCTGTGATTGCCGTGGATGTCCAAATGGAAGTTGCCCAACCAGAGGCAAGACCATGAGCCATCTTCGAGTCGCTGGGCAAACTCGTCTGGTGTTTTGGTTGGTTGAGCTGCAAGCAGCGAGACATAAATTCCCTCGGGCATCCCGCGAATTTGGAGCCCGAGCCATGAGTGGGGTGTGATGGCTGTTTCCAGGGTGGCGCTCGGAACGACGGGTGCCTCGAAGTGGATGGCGAGAGCAGAATCAGGGTACTGTGCTAGGGAGTCTCTCGCTTTCAAATATTCAACTGCTGGCGAAGTGCTGCCGCCCTCCAATTCTATCGCTACGTGTCTCATGGCTGGTTGTATTCCTCGACGAGAATGCGGTTCGGAAAATACCCACGAAATTTCACCCGCCCAGCCGGCCCATGACCAAGATGGGAAGGCTCGCCGCCTGTTGGGATGGGAACCGACATTCCAAACTTGGTACCAGCTTAGCGAGACCAAAAGGTACCGCTCGATAAACTTCAAATCCGGACTAGGATTCTGCAGTGGCGCGTACGGTAATCCGCTGAGGTGGAGGATAGGGTAGGATGAACTCTTGGCAAAGACCGTTAGAATTCCGGTGACGGCTTTCAGAGAATCGATTCGAACGTCAGATGGCGGTTGGTGTACTGTTGCACCAACAACAGGAAGTGAGAGATTCGTCGGTAGATGGCATCCTCCAACGCGGAAACGTCGCGGCGACGCTGGTACCCGTCCGGAAGGCTGGGCGGGTTCCGGTACCGACTTAGAAGAGGGCGAAGACAGCTTCCAATGCTGGAGCGGAATAAGAACGCAGCCTTTTGGTCAATGGCGCACTCGACACCACCGAGTCCCTCTGTCCAACTGGAGAGCTGGCATTCAAAGAAACTCTGGTGTTCAGTGAAAATGAGACACCTCCTAGGGAGCACCCCCTCTTGGAAAGTCCACCCTCGCTTCCACCATTCGGATCTGGATAGGACGTGCTTGGCCGGGTCCGGTCCCGTGCTCATGACAATCACGTCTCCTACTCGAACGGAGACGTGCTGCTCAGCTCGCCTTGCAGCTGAGACACCGGGGAGGCCGTGACGCTCATCGAGACCAGCGGCTGCGACGATGACCAGTTGAGCGTGGCTTTAAATCAGATCCATCTTCTGGATCTGGTCATCGCGTTCCAATGCACTGTGTTGGTTGATGCAGTACTTGTCAACCCAAAGATAGCGATAACCAAGGCCTCGGGCAACCGTCATGGCGTCTCGCACGGTTGGTGAAGCTCGCGAGAGGTCGTGTACTATCGAGGGATCCTTCGTCTGGGGGCCCCACCGGTAACTCAAAGTTACCCACTTGGACGAGGGGTCAGCGTTGACAACTTTGCAGATATCGCAGTCAATGAACCTCATTCCAGGTACCGCCGTGAATTGGTCCGGTTCGGTGCAAGTCTGTTCGTGGTTCTCCTCGCAGTCTTCAATCCAAGCTCGGGCTCTCTGGGCGTCGAACGCCGGTGCGACCACCTGGGGCTTCATGAATCCCGGTTCGGAGTCTCGGGCCCAGCGACAAACTACGCTCCCGCCATGCGCTGCATTGCGTCGTCCGTCAGCTACTAGGAAATGATGACATGCAGTGTCACAGGAGACAACGGACGGCTTACTCACCGTCGAGAGCGAGGCTGCGGCCTGAACCCAGGCCGAGTACAACGCTATCCTTCATGTTCAAAGATCCAAATGTTTCTCTCTGCAAATACTCGTAAAACGGGCCCGTTCGATTTCTAAGATACGAGGACGCGATGAGAGGGAGTTTTACTCGGCCGAGAAGCTCCAAGTGCGAACCAAGTCCAGTGTCTTGCGGAGACAAAAGACTGCAAAGAGAGCAGTTCTTTTGGCCCACAAGCGCAAACCGGCGGGCGTCGCTGTCTAGCACCATTCCGTTTTCCCTGCCACCGAGCTTTCCTTGGTCCGACGCGTCGAGAGCGATGGAGAAATCGATCTTGCGGCATGCATCGCAGATCGGTGAGTCGGGCTCCATGGCCAGTGGGAAGGAGAATTGCTTTAAAGTGGCTCAAGGAAGTCATCAAAGATGCAAGTGACGCTTGTGCTGGCGAGATGCCACTGATCGAAGCTTGGGTTGTAGAGGCGGGCGGCAGGACGGATGAAGACCTAATGCGAGACGCTTGGCCAATCAGAGCAACGAGAGGACATCTCCTCGTTTCTGCCTCAGGTCACCAATTTGCTGCCTAAATCTGACGGCGAGTCATCGGACCTACTACTCCCGCCCTTTTTCTCCCATCGCCACACCATCAACGACATCGAACCAGCGAGCCTGCCCAGGGAAGCGTTCAGTCCGGCATCATTCTCTACCGGAGCGATGAACATCAAAGTTTGTGCGCTGACCGCCAATCCTCCGCCGCTTGCCCCGAATGCGCGCCTTTGCCAACTGGACGCGGCTCCTAAGTCCCTCAGCTAAATCCCTTGTCGGTTCGACCCGACGTTCGCCCACGACCCCTTGGACCACACCAAATGACAAATCCGGCTGCTTGTGCTTTTACCAAAACCAGCCAAACGAGAAGATGACCTGATGGTTTGCTATCTCACCAACGTGTCTATGGACGACACACCTCCATTCACCGCGCTTTCATACCAGTGGTGCGACACATCGCAGTGGTACGCGAGACAGATCCTAGCGAACGGCAACGTCTTGTACATTGGGAAAAACCTGTGGTCAGCTCTCGGGATACGGCAATAAGATACGCAGGTCAAAGTCATGTGGGCCGACCAGCTGTACATCGATCAAGCCAACAACGCAGCTGCGATGCAGGAGAGAAACTACCAGATCTCTTTGATGGCCGAAATACACTCACGGGCTCGTATCGTCATGGCTTGGTTGGGCCCTGACGTTGATGTTACCGGAAAGGGCGCCGACCTCGTGGCTCGCGCGGATCGACTGTTCAGCATTCACTAGTGGAAGACTTCGGCCGGTGGGGCTTTCCATCTCTCCTGTTTGTTAGAGATCACTCAACAGCCCGTCGTGAACGGAAGGTCAGTGCGCGGATGGACAAGGACCATATCAGGAGGCGCGAGCGGGCCAGCAGAATCGAGTGCGGCCAAAGAAACCGCGGTAACGATTTTGGTGCATCACTCAATGGGCATCATCATCAGCCACGTCAAGGCTGCGGAAAAACTCCTGCGAAGCCCTTACTGGAACCGCGCCCGGTCTTTTCAGGAGATGTTTGTCTCGGATCACGTTGTGTTTTGCAGCGGTCCTGTCGGTTCGTTGCACATTTTCACGCATTCGTGGGGCATTAGCCGTCCTAGAGCAAATCAATAGCATTCTCCACAGCGTTGAAAGCTCGGTCGTACGTTTCACTTCAATGTTCTCACTAGAATCCAGGTATGGGATGGGACTCGGCTCTGCATTTGGGACCGTCAGTTGGGGCAGTCCAGCTGAGAAATGTATCACGACATGGTTCTCCAAACCTCCTGGTGGTCCTTCCTTGACGCTCTACACACTTGTTCCATTCTGACGCGGAGCTACGGATCCCAGAGATCATATATATGCTCTCCTGGGGATGACTTTCGACAGGGAGCGGCTAAAATCCGTTCCTGACTACAACCAAATTGTCGTTGAGGTCTTCACCGAGTTTGTACTGTTTTACCTCGTAGGCGGTGGCTTGACTCTCCTCTCCTGCAGCAAGCTGAGAAAAAGACATTGAAATCTTCCCAGCTGGGTGCCGGGTTTATTCGCCGGGGAGTACCGGATTAAGGGACAGCTGCCCTTCTTCGCTGGAAACAAGGAGGGCCTGAGATCAGAGCTATTATCAGACCTCGCAGTTTCCGGGGTTCTGAGTGTCCGTGGAGTTTGACTGGGAACCATCACAAATCTCAGCGCTGAGCAATTCCCATCGTTCCTGGGTTCCTACCTCGGCTTGTGGCCATAAGGGCCGCGTCCGGGATGGCCCATCTTCACATGGCGGAGAAAGGCGGAGCCGGGGCTCGCGGAGCTGAGATTTTGTCATGGTTCGTCGACTTGTGCTCCTGGAGCCAGTCATGCGCAAGCTAAGACTATAACGGCCTCCTTGGTGGGAAGATCCAGGAAGAGGTTGTGTACCAAGGGATCACAGTGGGCAACGGTTGGCGCGGATCAAGGGATGATTTTCCCAACTACATCATCGATTGGCATGAGCAAGGAGAGGTGGAGATATCAGACCTCTCTTTAGGGTTCCTGGTTGAATTGGAAAGAGTTTGGAATGAAGATTCTTCAGATGCTGCCGACAAGCCTGATGTCGAAGAGTTGCGCAAAGACGCAAGGGAGGGAGTGGGCATTGTGGGGTAGGAACTTGTTCGTGATTTTGACCATTTGGGTAAGCGGTTCTATGCGTCGTCTGATGAGAGATTTGGGTCAGGCCCGGGAGATATGCAGGTTGGAGGTACCGTTGCCATCTTTCGTCATCCTGCGCCCTGCGACTGATAATAGTTGAAGCTGGCGACTGGTTGAAGAGGCGCGTATAATATCTTGAATACTTAGTCGTCCTAGTGAATGACGCATGCGTTCAGGAGCGGCGAGCATCCGAACTTGTCTGGGAGGTCTATGTCGGCGCCGACTTTCAACAGAGCGCCGATCTTGGCTTCACTATCCCAAAGGTCGCTCGCGAGGCTTGAGTGGACGAGGTGGTTAAGGGGGGTAAATTCATTGACAGTATCGCAGAGATTAGGAAAGCTTCCGTTTTGAAGCAATAAGTGGGTGGTTTCGGTTGCACTGGGTTCATTCGATCCCATGGCGAGGTGCAA